AAAGATCACAGAACAGCTCCTAAGTAAACCTGCATTTGCAGACAGCTGTACTCTCATAACACACACTTTGGAGGACATCGGCTGCTTTGTAACCACTTTGTTCAAATCTCAGAATGCTTTGTGCTTAAGTCTGACAAACCTGTTCCTGGCCACGAACTCCCCTCATCTCAGTTCAGAAGTTCTATTATCTTATGAGTTCCCTTTTCAACAAAGACCACATTGGGTAATGAAATCATCCATCATCAAGAGAAAGCAAGCTCAGCATTCTGCAGCCTTACCCACAAGCTTTGGAGAGAATTCACGGAGTTTGTCTCAAAATAAGTATTAACATCTCAGCCAGTGGTTCTCACACCACTCCTCCATGGCTGAAAGAGATGGACAGTCGACTGGTGTCACCTGAAGCCAATCGATGCATTCCACCTTCACTGATTAAGACCTATCTGCAACATAGACTGGCAGTACAAAATCCTGAACATGAAATTCTCACAAGATCCTGCATACCTCATAATAAGAGCATGTCAGCCTTGGTGGTTTATACAGAAGTTTTGCATACCATAGGCATTATTATAGAGGCAGCCTGGAACTTAAACATTGAATGTCCCAAATATAGAAATGAAAATATTCTGAAAGCCAAGCTCAGAGCCAGTAAATTGGACTAACAATACATGGGAAAAAGAAACTCAGACAGATCTCAATGCACAAGTTTCAGAATCCCAAAATTTGAGGACACGTTTAGGTGCATTCATTCAACTCTCCAACAGTTACTTCATGCATAATATTTGCAAATCAAGATTCAGTTTAACATCACATATGAGATTACATCAACCTAGACGGTGAACAATTAGATTCCTTGCAGAACAATCATCCATTGAAATGATAGGAGAATCCGTCACAGCTTAATGCCCTTGCCACCATACGTTTCTACATTTCATCACCATTATCTCCATCGGGATCTACAAGGATGATAGTAGCATGGTGGTAATCTCGTTGGATAAGTTATTCAGAGGCCCAGCTTAGTGCTCTGGGACCACAGCTTCTGATCCCACTGTGACAGCTACTGCAGTGTAAAATCAAACAAGTAATTAATCAATCTGGAATTGAAGTTATGAAACTATCACAAATTATTTTCTTAAAGAACATTGATTCACTAATTTTTTTTAGGGAAGGAAATGTGTCACCTATATCCAGTTTACATGTGATTACAGACCTACAGCAATGTAGTTGACTCTTAAACACCCTTTGAAATAGCCGTGCAAGCCACTTAGCCAGGAACAGTTAGGGATGGATCTCAAGTATTGTTCTTGATATCACTGAATATATCACTGTCAGTGATGCCCATTTCCCACAAAGAAATAAAAAAGATACAGTAGCATTTTGAATCGCAGATGGTTTCAGCACAGAAGGAGGCCATGCTAAAGCAACACAGCTAATTCCACTCCTCGCCCTTTCCCAATAACCCTCATTTTTTTTTCTCTTCAGATAATTATCTAATGTCTTTTGAAAGCCACAGTTGAATCGGTCTCCACAATACACTCAAGCAGTGTTTTCCACATCCTAACTGCGCATATTATAAAAATGTTTCTCCTCTGTGATCTTTCACTCTTTTAGCATTCACCTCACATCAGAATCCTCTGGTTGTTTCTCTTCACCTATTCTATCCAGGCCGCTCATGATTTTGAACAAACCTCTCACCCCTTTCTTTTCTGTAAAGACAGAACACCTGACTTCTCCAAACTATCCATTTAAATAAAGTTCCTCATCCCTGGAGCTATTCTTGTAAATCATTTCTGTACAATCTCCATCTTTTCACCTCCTTCTGGACACAATATTCCATTGAGGTTGAACTAGTGATTTATAAAGGTTCAGCATAATTTTCTTGCACTTGTAATCTATGCCTCCACTTTAAAAAGTCCCGGATTCCATTTTTAAAATGTGGGATGTGAGCACACTATCAGCAAGGCCATTGTTTGTAACCCATTCTTAACCGAGAGGAGTTAAGAGCTAATCACATTCCTGTTGGTTTAGAGTAGTATGGGCAGATAAGGCAAGCACCTCTCAAGGACATTATAGAACCAGATTGATTTACACAACAATCAGAGTGTTTTATGGTTAACGCTACTAAGTTTAGCTTTTCTTCTCATTCTTTCATGTGATGTGATAATTGCTGATAAGGTCAGCACTTGTTGCCCAACCCAAACTTCTCTTCAACTGAATGGCTTGCTAGGCCATTTTGGAGGGCAGTCAGAAATCAATTACATTACTGTGCTTCTGGAATCACATGTAGGCAAGACCAGGTAAGTACACCAGATGTCCTTCCCCTATTGGGCATTCATAAACCAGGTGAGTTTTTATGACAATCAATGATGATTGCCATTGTCACCATTACTGAGAGTAGTCTTATATGTCAGAACTTAATTTCTACCAGCTGCCAGAATGTAACTTGAATCCATATTGTCAGAGCATTGGCCTAGGTTTATGCAATTATATTCAAGTGGCATTGCCATTAAGTCACTCGTTACCCAAGAGATTCCAAATTTATTAATTACATTAATTTTAAATGACATCAATTGGTCAGGATTCTTTATGCTATATTAGTCACTTTTTCAACCTGCCCTGCCAGTTTCAACAATTTGTACACATATTCCTTCAAGACCTTTTGCCCCATTCCTAACACCTTTTTAACATTGTTACCTGTAATTTATATTTAGCTCTGAAAAAGGGTCACTGACCCAAAATGTTAACTCTGATTTCTCGCTACAGATGCTGCCAGAACTGCTGAGTTTTTCCAGCAATTTCTGTTTTTGTTTCTGATTTCCAGCATCAGCTGTTCTTTTGACATAACAAGGTGTAGAGCTGGATGAACACAGCAGGCCAAGCAGCATCAGAGGAGCAGGAAGGCTGACGTTTCGGGCCTAGACCCTTCTTCAGAAAAGTCTAGGCCC